TGTCGGAGGAAAAAAATCAACAAATAAATACTGAAGACTTTGACTGCAATTAACATTTGTATAAAAACACAAGAATAAATATAAGAACAAAAAGAAAGAAGAACAAAGGTGAAACCAAACATGAGCACGAAGACGAAGAAGAAAAGAAAAAAATATTGTAAGAAACAAAAATCGGATAAGACAAAAAAGATAAAGACTCATGTTTATGTTTATAAGATCTATTGCACGGATCTCTTAGTCATAACATATTGTTTTGAAAAAAAATATTGATTAAGTAATTAGTTTAACTCCATAATCTTTTAACATATTTTACTAAAAATTCATTTATTAAACAGGTATCCCGAAGTTTTTGTAAAAGAATTCTAAAATATAATTATGCATCTCATTTCTAAAACGAAGATGTCGGAGGAAAAAAAATCAACAAATAAATACTGAAGACTTTGACCGCAATTAACATTCGTATAAAAACACAAGAATAAATATAAGAACAAAAAGAAAGAAGAACAAAGGTGAAACCAAACATGAGCAAGAAGACGAGGAATAAAAGAAAAAAAAATTATAAGAAAAAAAAATCGGATAAGACAAAAAAGATAAAGGCTCATGTTTATGTTTATAAGATCTATTGCACGGGTCTTTTGGTCATAACATATTGTTTTGAAAACAAATATTGATTAAATAATTAGTTTAACTCCATAATTTCTTAACATATTTTACTAAAAATTCATTTATTAAACAGGTATTCCGAAGTCTTTGTAAAATAATTCTAAAATATAATTATGCATCTCATTTCTATTGGTTTATTGATTTAAACTAACTGAAATTAACCGGACTAATCAAAATTAACCGAACTACCTAAAATTAACCATAATTTTCACTAAAATCGAGTCGAATTAACACTTCTGTTTTATTCGGCAACCCTACATACAAACCGAATTTTTCCATAACCAAACCAAACCATAATTTTATTTAGATAGTTTAATTTAGTTTCGTTATAATATTTCCAACTCAAAAAAAAATAAAGAACCGATAACCCTAACCGACCATAAGTAACATAATATTTAAACTTCAGATAATTTTTTGTATTTGGATTTAGGCTCTTAGACTAGGAAGTAGGATTCTAGATTTTAGGATATACGTATTATTTTTAATATTTTACGTGCATTTGTGAGGGTTTAGGATAACAATGTACATTAATTTGTTAAAAATATAATTTGATTACGATATTTTACATGCATTTGTGATGTTTTATGCTCACATGTTAGTGTTTTAGTACCGAATAATTGATTTTTTCAAGTTTTAATGTAAAATGAATTGTGTTTTTGTTATTTTTTACTGTTTGAATTTCGTAGATTGTTTTTTCATTAGTTGAATCGTTTTTGAATTGATGTTTTATATTGATGATAAAATTAAACAATTCATATGAAATAGAGGAGTATATTAATTTTTTAACAAATATGTATGATAATTCACGCTATTAAAATGGTATTATTTAGTGTTATTTAGTTTTTAACAAATACTGCCCTAGTAACTAGATGAAAGCAAGCAAAGTTGTGGCGGTTCAAAATTGCAACTTTGAACGGTGTATTTGTTAGATATTGAGAAAACACCAATTAGTATATATATTTGCAACATACCATGCTTGGCTTGGACGTAGAACTTAAAAGGTGAATGGGTGATGATTTCTAGTTGTACCATTTGTAACTTCGTACATATTTTTATCATGAATCTCACTAGCTTTTCGTTGAATTATAAAAGCTTGATGAAATTGAAACATAACTCTTCTTTCTTCTTTAGACATCTTGCTGTATGCGTATGAGATTTGATCATACAACTTAAAAACTGTACCAAAGGAAGGAATACTAGGCAGTTGAAACATTGGATAATACCACATCTTAAAGAAATATCAGTTCAAAGGATTATCCAGAGAATACAAATGACCAAGATAAACAAAGAAAAACGAAAAAAGGGAACATGTCAAAGATACATTAAGATAA